TCCCAGCATCCTTTGGGCTATCCTTCTGGCGGGCCGATTGCGCAACTGCACAGCGACAAGTGGTAGATGAGGGATCACACATTTGTATGTGTGTCAAGGGGGGAGTAGGGCACATGTGAAACCGGAAAGGGTATGTCCAGTTGAGTAGTTGCAGTCTATGCTTGGTGCGTATTTCCGTCCTGACTCAGTTCAGGCAACTTGGTCAGTGCTTCTCCACTCGAGAAGCTACCCCATTCTGCCTCGCCTCCTGTCGGCGTTGCCATGCCTCCTGAAGGCACTGAACCGTAACGCCTCGGTGACGAGTGCAGTCAATTCCACTGACCCTGACCCTTGGGAGTCTATCTATACATTTTGCCCTTACTATGGTCTTTAGGTGTTTGCTTCAGCACCAACTTGCCAAGAGTTAGTTTCCGACCTCGGTCCATTTCCTCCATTTGTCAATCCCCTACATATGATTGCTTTTCGGTTTAGGTATGCGTGTGTGTGTGTGTGTGTGTTTCTGTTTGTGTTTTTGTGAAAATGTCATCTTATTAGTCACATAGTTATCTGTTGCCAATCCTGTCGGCAAGTTCTTTGAGCAAGTGTTTAGGCTACCAATTTGGTATCTGTTGACCAAGTTGTATGTGAGGCGTCAAAAAGGCACAATTCCACAATTCGACACTTCTCTCCTTCTCCTTTTTCCGAATGCCTTACAATCTCCATGCATGCGAACTTTACCAGGAGAGGATGACTTTGTGCTATCGCTCAGCAGAACTTGAAGTCGGCTGAACATCTGGCGTTCGATCTCACCAAAAGATGTCACACTCTTTGTAATGACTAGTCTACACACACAAACCAGCACATACATACAAACATACCACGACCATATATTCCGTAGATATCCAAGCTCAAAATGGGCAAAATAACATGATTAGGCTGGTTCCATTAGCGATTGCGGTTCAAGTAGAACCGACCCGACTTCAGTGCCGGGTCATCAAGGATTTGTCGAGCTTTCAACTCAGAGAAAGACACATCTGCGGTTGCAGAAGAGGGGAAGAGATGAGCTTTGTGTGTCAAATCAGATGTTGTCTGCGTATGCGAAGACTCGTGCCTGTGCTAGTCTCGTCATTTTGCCCGTTCCTTCCACTCCTCCCGACCTGGTCTGCTCGGAAGGGACTAGGAACCTTGCGACCAGTTCGTGTGGAACCGCTCGATCCAACTTCTGCCTCTTCTGCCGGCAGCTCAAGATTTTGCATTCGCTGATCAGCTTGTTGCTGGGCCTCGTTGCCAGCCTGTGCTACAGTCATTTTTAGCTTTTTCCCAATTCCACGCGAATTTGTACATTCGTCTTTCCCCATCTTTTATGGCCTCTTAATCAGTTTGACCCGATTCGCCTCGTCTCCAAGTCACATTCCGCTCGATGAACTCGTCATCTGATGCAAATGTGCCCATTTTGAAACAGTTTGCAAAAATATCACCGACTCTTTCACTACCGACTCTTTGACTCTCTTCTTCCTTTCACTCATCATCTCGGAGGCATTCGCCGAGTTATGCTCCTTCGCCGCTCTATTTCGGCAACGTTGCACTTTCTCTCTCATTCTCTGCTCTCCTCTTTCTCCCAATTCAACCCCAACGTAGGACGACAGATTGTTCACCGTCTCTTGTTGTCTCCCGTTGACGATGCTCATCTCCTTGTACATCCTTTTGTCTTCGACCGAGTGTACCAAACGAGTCTGTTTCCATCTGCGTCCTACTTGGTCCTGCCGATTCTCCGCATCACAATCTCTCAACTCTTAATCCCAGGCTTCCGTTGCAGATTGGGCTTGAGGCCAAAGCCGTCTGTTGCATTCCTGCTCGGCTTTCCTTCAATTAATCCACATTCTCATCAACTTGACTCAGTTCATGTTAAAGCCAAGTTGGCAGTTTGCCTCAATGTTGTCAGATCACACCGTGCAAGGTTATTTTGCATTGTTGATCTTTTCTCTTGACCTCTCCGCCTCGACGGCCCATGAACAAGTGGGTCGATCGAGTTGGGAGAGCAACCCAAACCCTTTCTTGACCATAGAGATTGGAAAATCGGACTGATGTGCTGAGAAAGTGAGAGGGTGAGATGGAGAAAGGGAGGGAGTGAGAAAGGGAGAGAGGGAGAAAGGGAGAGAGGGTGAGGCTAAAGTAGGCCTTGGGAAGTGGGTGCGGGAGCAAGCACAACAGAGTAATGAAGGAATTGACAGTCTCCAATTTGTCCGGATGAAGAGAGAGCATTCGGCTGGTCAACGAAGCGGTACAGTCTCCTGCCTTCAACGGCAATGCCTGGTCGAAATTGGGTGGCGACAACTCGTGTCATTCTCGTGTCGGCAATGAAAAAAGAAAGCAGGCTCGAATGGTACAGCGCCTTGAGGCGATATGCACGAAACGGACGAGACAGGAGGATGAAGATGGGGAGGAAACAAGGAAATGAGACAAGACGAGTTGCCATGCACGCTCCATCGGTTCGCTGACAACTCGCCCGGTGGGACTGGGCAATGAAGCTGTTTTGTGCCCATCGCCTTTTTCTGCCGATTACCTTGCTCCTGCGGATTCTGAGCGATTTTTGGCGATTCGAGGCTTTGGCGCAACCCACACGGACACTCCTCTCCAAGCAGGCTTGGCTCATTCCGAACCTGCTCCCCTCAGACTTCATCCAAACGGCA